GGAAAGCAAAGCTGGTTGCCCTTTACAGTTATCAGGAATGACAAAAGGACTTTCTAATAGATGTCGTGGCTGCAAGATAGACATGAACTGCACAAACTGCTTCCAAACAGTGAATGTTAATCTCCTTTGGATGTACTGGAGCTGGCAAAGGGACAGAAGCACCAATTCCTGGCTGAGATAGAATGCTGATACCACTGTAGGAAGAAAAGAGGCTTTAAGCCTTAAAGAGTATATAAAGCCAACATTTCATATTCCAGCTATGTGTCTGCTGTACCATGTACTCATATGAAAAAGTATCCTGTTCTCTTTGTATGGCTTCCTTTGCTTGAAATACTTGGTGTTCCTGTCCCTCTGCTTTCCTAGTAAAAACTGACTACACTAGACATGAGAGGACAGCGTGGCCAGTTTTATAGCTATTCTGGGAACTCAGCCTGCAACCCGCACCCCCCCCCCCCCCCCTCCCCCATCCATTCACCTGGAAGTTCAGTGTAATGCCGTTTCTCCTCTCCCAGCACTTATGCAGCTGAGAACAGAAGGTATGTGATCACTTCTAAAAAAAAACAGAAACAATGTGTATCATTTTTTAGATCTATACACAAATGTTTTACCTTTGCTTCGGTTTTAAACTGGATGGCTTGTTTACAAGGAGAGGATTTACATTTACTTTAAGACTACTTTGTCCTTGGGTATGATAAGAAAAGGTATTATGGGATTTTACAGGACAAGGCATCCAATTCAGACATGCCCCGCAAAGGTGATGGGGTGTGGGTGTTGAAGGGGGGGGGGGGGGTATATATAAGCATCACCCTGTACAAAGGCCTTAACCAAAGAACGGGAAGCAATTAGTCTTTCGAATAGGATCACAAAAGCTGCTCTTTGATGGTACTCAGGGCTAAATGTTGAATCAGATCAACTTGCAAAACTGTAAGAATCCTCACTATGGAGTGTTTCCTCAGGTGAAATTTTCTTAATACAAAAAAAAAAACCCCACAAACTTATAAATATGACTATACCTTTCTCTGAAGAGAAAGACATCCATCTTTCTAGGTCACTAGCAAAAACTAAAGCATGATGGAAGTGGAAGGCTGATGGGCCAATGGATTTTTTGTTTTCCAGTGTCAATCCCTCCTGTAGGCAGTAGGGCAGTATCACACAATTCTCACTGAATTACTTTTTATCCTGTGTTCTGTAAAGCCCAATTCTGGGAAACTTGAAAGTTAACTCTTACAGTGGAGCTTGCTTACATTGCAAATGTTAATTGCTCGTTTAGGTCCAGGGGAAGAAAAAAAATCTACTTACCCGATTCTCCACTCCTCCACATTGCTATAACAGTCCCTGCAACATCCTCCCTCATGCTCCAGCGGTTTAAGTTCCTGACCAAAGCAGGGTCCATAGCCCTGCAAAGGACATGAGGATGCCGAGGAATAGTCCATTGCCAGAGCATGGAGGAGTGCAGGATCAGGTAAGTAAAAGTGCTTCTATTCTCTCCTAGAAAAACAAGCAGCTAACTCTTGCAGTGCAGGCACAGCCCCACTGCAAAGGATATTGTTCATGTTTCCTGAAGTTGGGCTTTAATGAGCAATAAGCAAACGGGGTCCTTGACATTATTCACATAAAGCATGGAGATTTTCTGCAGTTAGACTGAGTTTATATTACTGGTTTAGGTGTAAATAATGCTTAATGGACTTCTTTAATTTTGACAATAGGCACTTCAACACTTAGGTAATTACCAAGCAGGTGGTGCAATTTTCACGCATATTACAAAAACATTAGTAACTGATTGTAAAGCAGGTTTAGGAGATTAGGCAAAGTTATACAGTACCTCTGTGAAAATGGTGGGATTATCATATCCAATTGTCACATGACAGCAGAGGAAATCTAATAATGAACCATGTTTCTGCTTCTTAAAGTACTCATCGATTAACTCTTTCCGGCCTAAGCGGATGACAGAATCTGGTGTTGCACAGTTTAGTAAGACTTGTACCGCTTTGTTTTTTACATCTGTCATATGATCAGTATGTGACTGTTTCATGTTCTCTGTCACTTGAAGAACAACGGAGGCACAAGTGTCTGAATGGTAGCCAATGAAAACATCTGAAGGCCTGTATTTCTGAGCTTTACCAATGATGGGGTTTTGGTTCCCTTTAGTGAAATCCTCTACCCAAGCTTCTAACTCACGAACGATGACCTTGTGTTCTTTTTTCAAGAATGTGTTTATATCCAAGTAATGTTTCTCAAGACGGTTGATAAGTGGAATTGGAAAATCTTTGTACACAATTTCTTTTTCTTCAATGACTATCAATCTGAATTTTGGATGGACTCTGCATTTAACACGATGTGTGCCCAAGCCCAGGTCAACATATTTTTGTCCAGCTAGATAGACATAATATTGGTTAAGTGCATCATAAAGGCTTTCATACAGGTTCTGCAGATTGAGCAGTATGACCATCTGTCCAGTTTCCATACAAATCTTAACACGATTGATATTTCTACAAATCTGAGTATATTCCTGGTCCTTTGGAAAACTGGAGCCAAAGATGATTTCTGGTTGTTTGCTTTCTTTGAAGAAAGCTTGCTGAAGTATCTGTAATGCAGCATAGTTTTTGGTTAATATTAACAGGTAACGGCAATCATTACTGTCACATCTGATGTTCTCCATGACCAAATCTATTGTGTGGATATCTCCTATGTTTTCCTTTTCGTCTTTTAAGAAAATTTCCAAGGCATTCACCTCATCTTTTCCGCTGAAATTCCTCAGGACAGCCCTAGCAATTTCATCCAGAGTCAAGTTGTCTGGAGACTGTTTGGTAAAAGCAAATACCATTTTTATCAGACTGTAGAAATCTCTTAGACCAAAGAATTCCTTTTCCTGTTTCTTTAAGGTTTTGCAAACTTTAAGGTATGCCTCTGAGAAGTTATGGAAATGCTGAGATACTTTACCAAGAATTAGTTTATCAGAACAGCAAATTCCTTTTGCACTTTCAATAAGCTCTTTTTTGTTTGGGTCACCTCGGGATACAAATATTCCTCGATTCATTTTTGCTGGATCTAAAGCCCAATTAGAGATGCCAATAAAGCCAACTTTTTTGTGTGGTAAAGTGTCATCATCAATGCATCCATCTTCCAGCAAAGGATGAAGTGTTTTTAAAGGCATTTTAGGGGAGTCTTCTGCAAGCCCTATTTCATCAAGTACAACTACAGACACATATTCATTTAAATTCTTCCCTTCCTGGAATCGTGCACAGTGCCTAAATGTACCAATAATCCCTTCTGGCGTTGAATGAGGACTACACTGAAAAGATACCAGGTGGATCTGCTTAAGGTCCTTGTACAGTGGTGTATGAGCTGCTGGACCTTGCATAGCATCAGCGACAATAGTCTTTGCAAGAGACTTTGAACTTCCAGGTTTTCCAACAAGAAACAATGGAATTTTGAGCTCAATGCAGATGACCATCATAAAGAGGTTTTCCTTCAAAGCAAGATTTTTTGCAATAGTGTCCCTTAACTGTACCCCTGCTAAGAAGAGATCCTGAATGGAATTTATTTCTTGTAAAAAAATAGTAGGGTCTCTGTAAGGCTGAGGAAAACATTTACATACAGCCTTCCTGTAAGATTCTTTGGTTTCCAAAGATGACTGATAGCACACACCAACAGCAAGAACAAGAGACCACGCTGCTTTTTCTAAGTTACCGTCAGTTCTATATATTTTCTTTATCAGGGATAGTCGATGTAACAGATTTTTATGACGGCTGTAAAACCACTTAAAGACCTCTATGCAACGCTCCACATCCCTAAGACTTACAAAGCTGCACTCATCATTTTTATTTCTCATGTAGGACTGAGAGACTGAAAGGACATCTGTTAACAATTGGATGTCAGAGGAAGAAAGCTGAATCTCTTTGGCCAGGCGCAGCACAATCTGTTGAATGTATTTCTTTTCTGTTTCATTGTTCAGTTGCCCAAAATCCCATACAAGTGGCATCATGCTAGGAGGCAAAGCATGCACCCTATATACAAGTTGTCTCAGTGGAATAGAGCCAAGTCTTTCTTTGGTCTCATCTGCTCTCACCCTATAACCCAGACCAGCAGATTCTAAACGTTTGATCATGGCATCGGTGTGCTTTCTGTAAGGGTTGCAAGCAGCAATGATATGGAGTCCAGAGTCTTTTCGCAAAGGCACCCCTTCTACAGTGTGATCGCACAGGGCTTCTTTTATGCTGCTAATGGCCTCAGTGGTATTTGCTTCATCAAAAAACAACACAGTTTCACATCCTTGTTCCTTGTTAATCTGTGCAATTTCTTGGGCCTCCAAAATTTTTTTGGTAGATTGTCTCAGCAGTGGTACCACCATGAACCTTTACTAGCTTCATGTTTTCGGTTTCGACAAACCCCTTACACAAATGACACAAGAACTTAATCAGCCTGGTTTTCCCACAACCGGTTTCTCCCATGATGACTACAGGTATTCCACATCGGAACCTCATCTTGATTGCCAAAATTTTCAGCATGTTGTCCATGGTGAGCTCATATGTTTCATCGGGATCCATTGGCCACTGAATTCCCAGCACCATACATAATTTGCTTATTTTCTCATGCCTGGGCAACTGGTCAAAGTCAGTATTGAATGGCACTCTCTGAAGCCTCAAACCTTCATAAAGTTGCATGGTCATAATATTTTGTCTGATAATGCTGTTATTTCTGGGATTGATGGCATCTACCCCACCAGCATTGTTTGGCTGCAGGTGGAATCCTATAAATGTCATGGATGCATGGTCTTCATTAAAAAAGATATAGGGATGTGGCTCTGACTCCCACCTCTTGCGCATTAAGAAAGGTACCAGGTCTTGTTCCTTGACACCATCAAGATTAATCTCATATCTTCCTGGACTTTGATCTGCAATGTGCAAGGAAGGAGTAGCAAAGTCTTTTGCCATTAGTATCATAAAATTCACCACAAAGTTTTTGAATCCTTGCAATGTATCTCCAACAAACTCATGGTTACAGAATACTGAAGCTTCACAGTCTCTTAGCTGAAGATTTAGAAACCATGCAAAGTTCCGGAGTTCAGACCAAGAAGGGTCAACTATGCCACAGTAAAGAAGGAGTATCTGCAGACATTTTGCTGGGTCTTCTTCAGTGAGACCTTCTAAGTACACAAAGGCATCTAAATTTTGTCCCTGGTCAAAACGAATCAGGTACTGGTACGGTCTCTGGAAGCAATCACTATGAAATTCCTCAATGTCCATCCCTGGATCTCCACAATCTTTCACATCAGTTTGTGTAGTTTTTGTGAGAACCTCTTTTGGTGAGCAGCAGGAAATCTTGGGGAAGAAGTCAATAAAACCATTTTGAACAATTCGAGGAACCTGCAGGCAAAATAAATGAATAATGTTCAGTTAGACGTCTTACAATAAAAGCTCTGATTTTTTTTTTTTCCTGTAAGAAAACTTATTGCTTCTCTAAAGTTAGCATAACCCCGCCATTTAAAACAAAGTGGTTGTAAAGCCTATTTTTTTTCCATTAAATAATAAACATGTTATACTTACCTGCTCTATGTAATGGTATTGCACAGTACCTTACCTTCCCCTCCTACTTCTGGAGTCCGCTGCTGATGCTCTCTGCTCCTTCTCTTCTCCGAGTGACCCTCCATAAGCTGGTTGCTGGAGGGACACTTGTGTGGGTATGCTCCCAACCGAGCTGTGTATATCCATGGATGCAAACAGTGTGGCTTGGCCATGACTCCTGCTCCCTCCTCACAGGATCTGACTGACAACAGCAGGAGCCCATGGCTTCCACTGCTCTCAGAGATTCCTGTGAATGCAGAAAGAGGAGCAGTGCTGCTGCACATGAGACAGCAATGGATTGAGAGAGGACTTAAATAGGTGTTTAGAGATGGCTGGAAAGGGCACAGTCATTGGAAGGTTTTTTACCCTAATGGAGAGAGTGTTGAGTTAAAACGCCTTTTGCCTTTTAGAACTGCCTTAAATTAATTTTTGTCAAATCAGCATAATGGATGTTTTTACATTGAATAAGAAGATCAAAGCTGCAGGGGTATTGGGGGGCAGGGAAATGAGCATCTCAGCAAACAGAATAGCCACCAGAACAATGGACACTTCTAATTCAATGTAAGTACTGTCCCTTTGCTGATTAAAAAAAAAAACCATTAAAAGGAGAAGTACATCTTATGTAACATATTACACCCTTATTTAGCAGTCCCCCGCACCCCCCTGATTACCACCCCCCATGATAGCAGGCAGCGGATCCCCTCCCTGAACCCACTGTCACATTTTAAAAACAGCGCGGATGTGCATGTGCCATTCATTTAGAGTTCTGTGAATGAATAAAGTGCAAATTGTATTTCTCAAACTACTAGGGCGCTGATGAGTGTCCTCTTAGTTAATTGGACTCCTCCTTCTCTTTATTAACTGCCTGCCCATAAGAGGTACAAGTAGACAGGTGTGCTGCAGAAGCCTGACAATGCACCCACGATCTGCTGATCACAGGCGCAATGCTTGGTAGGCTGCAGTGTTTAAAAAATAATTGTACTTTATTTACCTGCAAAATCACGTGCATTTAATTTTTTTTTTTTATAATAGGTGAACTTTGCCTTTATCTACTTCCCGTTTGGCCAACGTATATAAATGACCTGGTGGGTGGGTGTGCTCTAGTTCTGGTAGGATGTAAATGTACGTCCTCCTGTTTGCACACCTCCTGGAGCACGCAGCAGTGTGATCTGTGACCACTTTGTCCACCTGACAGAGCGCATCACAGTTGCAAGTACTGGGTACTGTGATTGGCCCAAGTAACAATCACAGCAATCACATGTCTACTTGAAAACTGTGAAAAATGGCATCCATTTATAATAGCATTGTTTACTATTGATATTTCTGTGATTGGTCACAGTGATCATATGGTACAGGGCCAATCACAGCAGCCCTGTACTATATGGTATCTGTCGCCAATCACAGCAATCACAATAGTAAACAATGAATCATGAATGAAAGCAATTCATGACAGTTAAAACAATTGCTTTTACAGTGATCGTCCGAAAAAATCAAGAATACTGCTCATCCCCCCCCCCCTTCCCCCCAAGAATAGTACAATGTCACCATGATGATACTGCACTGCTCTGGTGACTCTACTCTGGTGACAGTATGTAAAAAAAAATATATATATATATATATATATATAAAAATTTTTTTATTTAACATCCTGTCACCAGCCAGTGTCCCTAATCACCCTCGAACCAGTTACAGTGTCCCTGATCACCACCATACCATTTACAGTGTCCCTGATTACCACCACACCATTTACAGTGTCCCTGATTACCACCACACCATTTACAGTGTCCCTGATTACCACCACACCATTTACAGTGTCCCTGATCACCGCTAGAGTGGTCGCAGTATCCCTTATCACCACAACAGTCACCATAAGGATTTGTTTACATGTGTGAAGCTCTCTGAAGAGCCATCAATGTTTAGATTACTCTTCATAGAGCATTTGACAGACAGTGAGATGGCACTGTATCCCCTCTTCACGACCTGCTTTAACCCCTTGGAAATCACAAATGCAACCCCATTCACATGAGTGGTCTCGACTGATGGGTGTTCAGGTGGTATAAATGCTGCCACAGCTGGATAGCAAAGCATCACTGCCGTGGCATTTTTACACACCCAGCCCCTGCAGCTAAAGGGGGGAGTGGGTGAGGTGTGGTAAAACCGCAGCTCAACAAGTTTTTACTGCCCCCCCACTCAAGTGTGAATGAGCCCTAATAGTGCAACCACAGTTCTCCGATCACACCAGCCACAGGGTCTCCAGACAGAATCAGTGTTCCAGATTGCCACCACACCAGACCAGTGCAGCAAGCAACAGTGTTTCCTATCACCACCGCAGCTGTTGCAGTGTCACCACACCAGTGTAAGGTATCAGAAGTATTCCTGATTGTTGCCAAACTAGTCCTAAGTGTCATCAGACCAGTGTAAGCAAGTAGCAGTGTTCATGATCGCTGCTACACAAGTCCCACCATCACCAGACCAGCGCAGCCAGCAACAGCGTTCCTGATCACCCCCATACCAGTGCAGAGTTGCCTCTGCCTGCCACCTGTAGTAACCATGCCCTGTTTATTGACCACATTTCTCCCTGTTGCTTGAACGGATCCTTTGTTTGCTTTGTTTGCTGTTGCTTGAACGCATCCTTTGTTTGCTTGAACGGATCCTTTGTTTCTCTGCCGGCACCTGAACTGACCCATCATCAGGTCCGACTATGTTCCTGCGGGACACCCATCCCAGACAACTGCACTCCAGGAACCACTAAATATTTTTTCTTCCTTTCCTACCCATTTGTTTACTTATTGGTGGGGGACGATCGACGCCATCATTCGGTGAGTGTCAAGGAATGGGAGCGGTCATGTTTGGTGGCTTTTTTTTACTGTGCGGGTCAGCGTTCATCATGATCGATGATGGTTGTACATAAGGGGATTTTTACTTCTTTTTTTAATAAAGGACTTGTCAAAAAAACTGTCTTGTGTTTTTTGTTTGCTTTTGACAGTTTTTGGGTGAATGAGTAGGGATACTATGTTGAAGGTTAAAGGGGGCTACTAATTGAAGGTCCTGAGGAAGCACATACGCAAAACACGTTGACCTCTTTGGATTACTGGAATCGAAGAGTGTTTTGTACTGAAGAATTGATCTATAAAATTGAGTGATGACCTTAGAACGTTTTTAATGACTTCTGTTAGTCTGGACCTTTTATGAAACATAAGAAAATATTGATTTTATTGAGACAAGTGGTGTGTTCCCTGGTACCAGTAAAGTCCAGCAATTACTTTTTGAACCCTATATGAATTTTAGGATGTTGGTACAAAGGAGAGGCAGTGCTATTTTATTATAGATACTTTTTAAATTAGATTAACATTTTACCAATTATAATTATCTGAAATTTTAGTGATTGAGTTTACATCTACTTTAAGAATTCCCAAATGGGCATATAAAACATAAAAATAGTTGACGAAAGCACTTATGAGGTTCAGAGGAGTAGTCATTGATATCCATGTAAAATAAAAATATAAATAAATCTTACAGATTTGAACTGTTTTCTAAACAAAATGTCTGAAGATTCCAAAATTCAATGATGTACAGGTGACTGGGAAGGCGCTTCCATATTCTTCCCTGAGAATCCATCAGGTAGTGCAGGATCAGGAGTTTAAACAGGAACTCTGAAATGCCACTGTTCACCTGTATTACAAAAACACAAATATATCATATTATGAAGTACTACAGGCCTAAGGGAGGTATTCTTCAAATCATGTCCTATGCCAAACAAATTGTACATACTGGCCTCTGTTCTAAGCCAGATAAAATTATACATACTGGTTGCTGTCCTGTGTTGATGGTAATTGTGAACAATCTCCAAAACCAATGTCCATGTAAGTTGTGTATGCAAACACTAATGATTAACATCTGTTTGCTCCTCTTTGGTATGTGCACTATACCTTTAAAAGTGTGTGTTATAGTTGTTGAACAAAAAAAAAAAAGAGTTGAAACTTTTTGTACACTGTACCTGTGATTACTGTTCACATTTTGCACTGTTATCAGTTCGGTCTGTGGACTACACAACACCTCACCTTATGTTATGGAGAGAAAAAGGAGGGGAGGTGTCCTGCAGTCTTAACACTTCCTGTAATAATACTGCTCCTGCATAAATACAGTTCAGTGACTATCAGGATCACCAAGAGAAAATAAAGACAAAAAAACCTGGATAAAGGAAACTGGGACACTTCAAAGCGTAATTACTTTGGCTTAAATATATTTAATATATTTTCATTTAAAAAAATAATTTTAGTATCTTTCCACACACAAGTTGTAGATTAATATTTCCTTGCAGTATACCTAATGCTGAGGATACATTATTTGTGCCATGCCCTTGACAGCTATCAGCCCTCACTGTAGCTGTTAAACCTGGCTCTCATTGACAGCTTTGGTCCCCAGTGACTTAATGACTAGGAACCAACTAGAGTAATCACATGGAAGCTGAAGGCATCATTCGTTATCATTCTCTACCGCAGCCTGTGTATCAATTTAATAAACCATCCAATAAAACAAAGGGTTAAAAAAACACTCACAAAATCAGATGAATTACAGGAACATCAAGGGTATGCAGGTCACTTGAGAGGATCAGTGGAAAGGGCCACCAGGAGGCTAGTGGAGTGGCACTTATGTGCGGCTGTACAGGATACAGCTAGAAAGAGGTGTAGAGCCTGGAAAAGCTGGATGGAATCCACAGGGCCGACGATGCAACCACGCTGAAACGCAAGCCTCTACCGGTAGAGGCTTGCGTTCCAGCATGGTTGCTGCGTCACTTAGATGGTGCAACTGTTTTTTCTTTTATTCATTTAGTGCACAGAGACCATGCAATACTCTGCCGGAAGTGCTGCAGCCCCTACAATAGTGACTGTTTACACTCTGGACCCTGGGAACCTTTTCACTGTTCACACCATTGAGCTTTTTTTCCTTACTCCACCGGGCTTCCTCCAAACAGTTACTAGGGGTTCCTTGAGCAATGACCAATTTTGCCTCTCAGATAAGTTCCCACTGACACCAATTATCTTTTTAGCTATCTGTAAGGAGTAAATTCTTCCCAATACCACAAGTCTAAGGAGCATTCTTCCCACTGACCACCACACTAATGTATCATGAGTTAGAAAAAATGGTATACAATCGGAGCTGGAGGAGTGAACACTAATCGGTATCAGCGGCAGCAACCTTAAGAGCAAAGTTGGAACTCTGCAAGTATAAAAGGGAACAGAGAGGTTCTAGACTAAGTGCAACACTAAATAGTGCGGGTGTCTCCCCTACCAGTTCCTGCTTCCCAGCCACCCTGACTACTTGGAAGCAGGAACCAGTAGGGTAGACACCTGGACGACTTACAGATATGCCTGCCTCTTTTACCTTCCAGTGAGTTGCCAGTTGTATGAGTTTTAATAAATCGCACTATTCAATGCTGCACTTAGTCTGGCGCCCCTCTCTTCACTTCCAAGTATCTTGAGTTGTAGATGTAATAAATTTTTAACAGGGGTTCCCTGAGACCTGAAAGTTATTTCAAGGGTTCCTATGTGTTGAAAAGGTTGAGAAAGTCTACTAAAAAGAAACTTTAATCTATAACTTATATAATAAAAAAAAAGGAGCAGGAGTTTTTAATGACAACCAAAGGAGCATCCGGATGTTCGGGTACTTCCATTCCTAGTGCTGGTGACATACTAGTGTCACCACACTCTGTAAGAGTGGCTGAGAAGGGGTAATTTATTTGGCCAACAATGCTTGGAAAAGCAAAAGTAACAGCAATAACCGGTGAGCAAAAGTAGCTAGAGTGCACGTTTAGGAGATATTCAATGTACCTACAGGTAAGCCATGCTATAAGCGTACCTGTAGGTACAAGTTCAAAAACTGTGTCTACTACTGCCTCAAGACTAACATTTAGGGTACTGCTTAAGCTTTTGATGATTATGGTTCACAGCTAGTGAAAACCCAAAATTCAGTATCTCAGAAAATTACAATATTGTGAAAAAGTTCAATATTGTAGACTCTTGGTGTTACACTCTAAACAGCTAAATAATTCAAAAACACCTGTAAAGGTTTCCTAAGCCTTTAAATGGCCTCTCAGTCAAGTTCAGTACGTTACACAATCATGGGGAAGACTGCTGACTTCTGGACAGTTGTCCAGAAGACAGTCATTGACACCCTCCACAAAAAGAGCAAGTCACAAAAGGTCATTGCTAAAGAAGCTGGCTGTTCACAGAGTGCTGTATCCAAGCATATTAATAAAACGTTGAGTGGAAGGAAAAAGTGTGGTAGAAAAAGGTGTACAAGCAACACAGTAACCGCAGCCTTGAGAGGATTGTGAAGCAATGGCCATTAAAGAATTTGGGGGCTAAGGCTGGTGTCAGTGCTTCAAGAGCCACCACACACAGATGTATTCAGGACATGGGCTACAACTGTTGCATTCCTTGTGTCAAGTCACTCCTGAACCAGAGACAACGTCAGAAGCGTCTTACCTGGACTAAGGAAAAAAAGAACTGGACTTTTGCTCAGTGGTCCAAAGTCCTCTTTTCGGATGAAAGTAAATTTTGCATTTCATTTGCAAATCAAAGGTCCAAGAGTGAAAGAATGGAGAGGCACAGAATCAAAGTTGCATTAGGTCCAGTGTGAAGTTTCCACAGTCAGTGAAGATTTGGGGAGCCATGTCATCTGCTGGTATTCGTCCACTGTGTTTTATCAAGTCCAAAGTCAGCGCAGCCCTCTATCAGGAAATTCTACAGCACTGCATGCTTCCCTTTGATGACCAGCTTTATGGAGATGCTGGCTTAATTTTCCAGCAGGACTTGGCCCCTGCCTACACTGCCAAAAGTACCAATACCTGGTTTAATGATCATGGTATCACTTGTGCTTGATTGGCCAGCAAACTTCCCTGACCTAAATACCATAGAGAATCTGTGGGGTATTGGCAAGAGGAAGATGAGAGACACGAGGCCCAACAAAGCAGACGAGCTTAAGGCTCAAAGCAACCTGGGCTTCCATAACACCTCAGCAGTGCCACAGGCTGATAGTCTCCATGCCACGCCGCATTGATACAGTAATTCATGCAAAAGGAGCCCAGACCAAGTATTGAGTGCATACTATGTTTTACATTGTCATGCCTTTCAATAAGCCAACATTTCCTTTTTTTATTAGTCTTATGTAATATTCTAAATTTCTGATTTACTGAATTTTGGGCTTTCACTAGCTGTAAGCCATAATCATCAAAATTAAAAGAAAGAAATGCTTGAAATATAGCACTCTGTGTGTAATGAATCTTTATAATATATGAGTTTAACTTCTTAAATTGAATTACTGAAATAAATGAACTTTTCGATGGTAATCCAATTTATTCAAATGCACCTGTAATAGTGGTTCTGTAATGGTCTCACTCAAAAGCGGTCCATTTTTTCTGTTCCCAGCACTAATACATTTATAAGCATCCATGATACAACAATTCGTACATTGCTCACGTGTTATTTTACTTACAGAAGATGTAATATCAATGTGGAATATTATAGGACAACTCTTTGATTTGCCATGTAGAAAAGGGAGTAGGGTTTCCAATATTTTGTTCTCGTCCACTTCTGGCTTAATGAGCCGAATTATTTTGAGAAGTGGCTTTTTACTTGGAAATCTAGACAGAAGTTTTTGGTAAAGCCTTTTAACATACAGAGATTTCCCTGGGGTAAAAGGAACATTAATAGTGTTACAATGGTTAACAAGTAAAACTATAGCCTATTATTAAATATGTGTCAGTTAAAGAGCAATATTAAGAATTCAAAAAATTTCAGAATAGTTATTTCTGGTCTGCAGTCCTGTTGTTTCTCTCTATATTGCTTACTGTAGTCAGACAGCAGTCTGAATGAAATAAAAGCAGCATTTACACTGCCGTGTGCCTCTGCTGAGAAAACACAAAGCTCATATAGTACAAAGAGACGAATCTTACCCATGCTCAAATGCTCTATTCACAATATGGAGACAGGAGACTGGTGCATTGGCTAAGGAATTCACCCCTCACAGCTTAAGTCCACAATATAGGTAGGCGGTAACTCAGATAGCTTCTTAATGTAAATCTTTATTGGTTACATGAATACAGGATCCACAAAACTAACGCGTTTCTGCTTCACAAAGCTTTCCTCATAGCATGCTAACCAATGTAACCAATAAAGATTTACATTAAGAAGCTTTCCGAGTTGCAGGCTACCTATATTATGGAAATACAGTACAAAGGCTCAGTCTCTGTTCACATGCAAGTGCGAAGGTGAATTTGTGTTCATCATGTTTTGGGCAGTCCATTGGTTGGTGTGCTTTGAATGTTGTTAGCCATGAAAGACACTACAGTACATCTGTTTATATCTGCAAAAAAGGACTCAAACCTTTTTCTTCTTTTCTGTGGACATAAAAGGAACTTGGATGTAATCAGATATAAACAGAACTATGTCGTCTATATACAGTGTGGTTTGTTCTGGATCCATCTGAAAAACTGATCCATCCTGAATGCTTATGTTAAAGGGCCCTAAAGTAGTTTGCTATCCCTGGAAAAAGCAATGCCAGTTTAATGGTAAAGGTAATTTGTATTTTAAAAGTTTATATATTTTGTTTGCTAATATTTAATCTTTACTTAAAAATAAACATTACAAGGTGTA